CTCTCTGCTGCCTTTTTCCTTTTCGTGTATATATATACAGTTTCCATGATATATCTTTATCCACAACCCACTAATCACTCATCATCTTGTGTGTTTCCACTCTTTAAACTTTCAGTGTTACTACCTCTGCTAATTCTTAGTCCAAACAGTAAGCAATGAGAATGCATCATCACCATCTAAACTGCACAAGGTGTAGAGAGAGCATACACGCTCTACATATTCCAACTTTGGACATTTCTCTACATATTCAAAAATACTACAATCCGAAAGGTTAATTTTCGGAGAATTTAGAACTCACAATTCAATGACTACAGTTTTGGTAGAAAACGATCTATCTGGTATCCGGTATACCGGTAATTGAATACGGTATCCGGTATACCGGATAATTTTCGGTATCGGTATTCGGCGACAGAATTACAATTGCCGATATACCGAATACCGATTACTCAGTATCTGGTATACTGGATACCGACCGATTACCACCCCTAATCTTGAGGTAGTTGGGTGTGCTTTGTGGAATTAGTTGAGAGTAGTCTTCTTGTTTCTCTTTGTATCTTAGACAGAGTGGGTCTGATCTTAGCTAGAAGAGAGAGTTTTGAAATTTAGATTCATTGCCATTGTGAAGGTTTGATTCTCATCTTAAAAGAATCAACTTGCAGTTAGCTTGAAATAAGATAAAATTAGTATATAGGTCTCAAAGGAAAACCACCATTAAGGTTGTTAAACTCCTATCGAGCCTTCGGTTGGACCCAGTCTGACCTAAGTAGGGCTTCAAAACGGTCTTCAGAAAGCCACCCGGTCTGACCTCTAAAGAGGGAGAAGAAAATAGGGAAAAGAGAGGAAGAGGAACGAAGGAAGAGAGATGGTGGGTGAGTTATGGAGGATAGATAAATTTATTTTGTGGAAAATAAGTTTTTAATAGATACATGTAAGATAAATTTAATTTCAGTCATTAAATGTTTAATTACTATTATATATATATGGTGGTTTCTATCGTAACTTGGGTGAAATCTAGGGTACAACATACCCTAAGTAAGAAAACGCTATCTAGAACTCGAATTAACTGCATTTCTGGGCATGATACTATACCCTAACCCTTGATGGGTGAACCCTAGGTCTTAGTTTTCTAGATCATAGAGCCTAACCCCTAAGATTGTGCATGTAATTTTTTGCATATATTTAAACGAATCATGACCGTCAATTTTTGTTTCTCAATAAAATGATTTTCATGTATGAGATTTATAGAACTAAGACATAGATTTTAATCTTTAAGAGTTTGAGAATAGTTCCAAATGCCAAACTCCGGTCAATTCAAGGTCTAGATATGATTTTCTTACTCAATGTACGACATACCCCGGATTTTACCCGGGGTACGATAGAATGGTCCATATATATATATATATACATATATGGGTCAGACTTGTATGCTCCAGGCGCATAGTATGCTCCAAGTTTTTTAAACCGTTGATCTAATCTAACGACTATTATTAATAATAATTAACTGATTTATTAATTTTAAATTCAAAGATGACTAATTGGGCTACTTACATTTATAGACGTGCTCTTTTGTCCCCATAAATAATTTTTTCGCATCTCTTTATAATACCATACCTAATTTCTTCTAATCCTGAATTAAACACCCAAAAATTACAAGATCTCGGGTGACATTACTCCTCTTTTACCTTTTTTGTTGTTTTTCCTTTCCACAATATTTATCCAACCCGATAACATTTCACTCTTCAAATTGACGATCGCTCTCCTCTCCACCTTGAACATCATCAAATTTGCCAAGTCGTTGCCCCTCGACTATAATTCAATTTTTCCCACATGCAGCCGCTCTCTCCGACGCTGAAAGTCTGCTGGCAAATTAAGAGATGAATTTATTAGCGTATCTTTCAGCTCGTGGATTAAGGAAGTGAACTTTGCGTACTCGAGAGCTGGAGGGAAGGGCCGTGTTGGCGACGAAACTCTATGGTCAAAAAGTCTGAAGATGAAATCAATTGTGATGGCGATAGGAAGTATGCAGATGGAGAAATTAAATTGGTAGCCAGTTCTGCCACCACGGCACCACTGATGATGATTTCGTTGTTTTGCATCAGATCCGTGACTTTGGAGTCCGTAGGTGGGAATATTTTCCGGCTTTATGCTTATGAGAATCAATGGTTGGTCTCCACCTGCGCGACACCATCGTTTGGGAGAACCACTGGTGGGCTTTCGGGTTCATCTGCTTGGGATTTCTGGGTTTTGGCAATGAATTGAGGAGATCCGTAAGTCAATCGATTACGCTTTCCAGGCAGTCCATTTGGGATTTCTTGGTTTTGACTGATAACAAGGCCTCAGCGATGATTCAAGGGAAGAAAAGGAAAGATTGTCTGGAAGAAGCATAGTCGTCGCGCCTGGATCGAGAGGAAACAGGGGGCAGGAGTTGGTGCCACCATTGTTGTTGCTGATGGTTGCTGGAAGGTTTTCGAACGAGGATATCTGGGTTTAGGGTATATGGGTTTGATTCGACCAAGATGGAATTCAATGCATGTTTGAAATAGCGATTAGGGTTCTTTTCAGTTCCTTTGGTACTGTGTTGTTGTTTATTCAATTTGAACGAGGGAAGAAGAGGAAGCTTGTTGTTTGTTCGCAAGAGCTTGAGATTCAATTCAATTCCATTAATGTTTGTGTTAATGTTTCTTCGATTTGCAGGAACTTGACTGAAACTCTGCATATTAAAAACCCAGATGGAATTGGAGGTGCTGATGTGTTTTGGCTTTTGGGAATAATCGAAAACAGTTCAAATGGACAAACTTAAAAAAAAATATGGGTACTTAAATAATCTACTTAGGTAGAAAGAAGGTACTTAATTGTAAAATTAATGATTAAAATTGTTCAAGGACTATAATGTATGTATAATTATTTAACGATACTAATACTAATTAATAATTAATTAATTAAATCAGATTTAATAACAAGCGTTAGATCAGATCAATGGTGCAAAGTCTTAGAGTATACTATGCGCCTGGAGCATACAAGTCGTATCCATATATATATATATATATATGGTGGCTTCTATGGTACCCCGGGTGAAATCCGGGGTACCGCATACCTCGAGTATGGAAACTCTATCTAGACCTCGAATTACCAGGATTTTTGTGTCTGATATTATACCCTAACCCTTAATGAGTGAACCCTAGGTCATAATCATCTAAATCATAATCTATAAACCCTAAGATGATTCATTCCTTTTTGTGCCTATATTTGGATGAATCATAACCGTCGATTATTATTTCTAATTAAATTGATCTTGGAGTATAATATTGGGAGAGTTAACACCTAGATTTTGATCTTTAAGTGTTAGAGTATAGTATCATGTCCGAAAGATCGGTCAATTCAAGGTCTAGATAGTATTTTCATACTCAAGGTATGCGGTACCCTGGATTTCACCCAGGGTACCGTAGAACTCGCCATATATATATATATATATATATATGGAAACGACTCGTATGCGTCAGACACATACTATGCGACATGATTCTCTACCGTAGATCTAATCTAACGGTCATTATAAATTACATTAAAATTAGTAATAATATTTACTACTTGCACCCCTTAAATAATTATATGTGCTATATAGCCCCCAATAATAATTTGCGTTTTATTTTCTCACATGATACCTATTCGTTTTTGTGAGGACTCAGATGATACCTTATTTCTTCTAGATCTTTTAATGAACACCCAAAAATTATACAATTGATAAAATAAAGTTCCATTAAAAGGTTGCCCCAATTCGACAATCCTAAACCACCATCATCGTCATAACGATTTTTCTAGATACCCCAATTGCAAACCACTAATTTTACCATCAGTCCATCATCATCATCGTCCCTGCTTCTGATCTACATCGACTTTGGCTCATCATCATCTGTTTTTAAGGTCGCAGATGACAGCTACCCTTTCGCGACGAATCCGAATCAGTTGACGGTGAAAGACTATGACCTTTACGTCCTGTAAACAATGACTAAGGCTGAAATGGAGAGAGGGGATTGGGTCTCGTCAAGGGAATTCTCTTGGTCGGATTCCAGAATAGTGAGAAAGTTTGGACGATGAAGAGAGACGGCCGTCGGATTACGGTGGTGACGGCGGCAACTGGATAATTGGGAATTTGGGGGGCTAGGGAAGAGGGGAATTCTCTTGGTCGGAGTCCAGAATAGTGAGAAAGTTTGGACGATGAAGAGAGATGGCCGTTGGATTACGGTGGTGACGGCGACAACTGGATAATTGGGAATTTGGGGGCTAGGGAAGACGACGATACATGAAAAACGGCATCGTTTTGTGCTCGTCTCTGAATCGAAAGTGGCCTGAAGAACGGCGTCTTTCTATTAGGTGTAGCTGAAATAAAAAATAATAATAATGGTATGAGGGTCGAACCAACATCCTGGTGGTTGCCAAGGGCATTCTTCACCATTCATGCTATACAAGGATTTTGATTCAATATACTAACACATTTTTATTTATAACTTTAAAATGAGTTCTTGTAAAATTAAAACACAAAACTAACCTAAGCAGGCCTTTTGTACCAGGCCCAATAGGGCTTAGTCCAGCAGATCGGCGGCTGCCCCTGCCCTCCCTTTGTCTCTTTAACAATAATCAATTGTAAAAAATAAAATAAAACATAGAACAATAATGGCAAAGTTGAAAATTGGAAGACTACTTACCTACCAAATCTAGCAAACGATTTATCTTCTGCTTTTTCTCCCCTCCCCATGCGCTGCCTTTTCGGTTTTCCTTCAAACTGATCAGACACATACTCAAGTAACTCAACCGCCCTCATCCTCCCTCCGCCTCCGTTGCATGTCTCCGCCTCCGCCTGTCAAGCAACCCCTGGTCGCTCAGTAGCGGTCTGACTCGCTAAAACACAACACCTAACAATGGCCAAGTGTAACCAATGGAAGGCACTGCAGTATAGTGGCTCAAGTGATAAATATCGAATCCACGGGTCTCTAGAGTTACTATTACTCAGCTTCAGTTTATTATTTAGCAAACCAGATTAAGATGAAAGAACTAAAACTACTCTAGCAAACTACAGTTAAAGTTAATCTAATTACAGGTTGGGAACTCACTTAGGTATGATTCCCCCTAGCCACTAGCCAGATTAACGATTGATGATCTCTAACTTGTTTCACTTTCATTCACAATGCGGAGAATCCTTGACTAGACCTTGAGTCTCGACTAAAGGAACAAGGCCCTCTTGAGTCAATTGCCTAGAGGGACGTATCCTTCTCTAGAACAACTGATCAAGGCGTTCTGAACTAGACTCCCTCTATCGAAAGAGGTTCTCAATCGATACAAAGCAGTGAATCAACCCTCGACTAAAGCAATCGATCCACTACTATCAATCTATGGTGCTCTATTGACCTAATCAGGTATTCCCTCTCATAGAATCAAAGCAGAATCAATAATCTCGACTAAAGCAGAATTGAATCATGAAAACATGCATAGATTGAATATGAACTCAAGATTATCCAGTCAGAGTACTCATACAATCATCCAATCAAACAAACATAGCTAGGGTTCCTCAATACCTAAGTGAAGGGAAGTTACTCCATAGAGAAGAGAGAGACTGCAGTAAGAATCTTCAGATGATCAGTCTTCAAGTCCGGGCTTGTTCCTCGAGCTTCCAAGGCGAAGAAATCCTCCTTCTCTACTCCAAGAATGCCCTCAAATCGCCCTCTCTCTCTAGGGTTCGTCCCTTGGGTGTTTGGGATCCAAAACCCAGCTCTCTCTTCTTTGGTTCGGAGTTTGGCTTAAAACCAGGAAATCCCGACTCGCACGGCCAGGGTGCACGGCCGTGCACATCACCATTCTGGCCGTGCACCTCAAAACGCGGCGTATCAATTAGTTGAACCTCAGCCAACTCGCACGGCCAGAATTGTATGTTGCACGGCCGTGCGGATTTCACTTGTGCCCGTGCGTTCCCACGCACAATCCCGCACGGCCAAACTGGTCACTTGCACGGCCGTGCGTGGCCACGCTGGTCTGCCCGTGCAGCTTGCTCAGCCTCTGTTTAATGCTTCGTTTCTCCCTCGTCCGGACTCCGAATCAATCGCCGTTTGATCCCAGACGCTCGTAGTCTCGTCCTCTTTCGTTTCATAACAAGCTTGCATGATTCTTTGTCCATAAAGTGAGGTAGAAATCCATTCTTCTTCAGGTCATGCCCGAGTTTCTTCTCTCGAATCGTCAATTGATCTCTGATTGACTTGAAACTTGCGCCTATGCTTCACTTTATGTGCTAGGACCTGAAATGGGACAAAGGAACACAACCTAGCATAAAATAGGCCAAAGACGCAATAATTCAAGCTCAAACAATCAAGAAACAAGGGGGAAAACATGTGCAAATACCGAGTCATCAAATCCCCCCACACTTAACTGTTTGCTTGTCCCCAAGCAAACCTAACTCAAACCAATGCAACTCTCCAGACCTCTATAGCAACAAACAACCCAGATCGTAGGTAGAGGACTTCCTAGATCATTTAGCAGCTTACGAGGTCAACCGACGCACAAGTCATCTCATAACTTCTTCGGCGAGTCGGCATCATGGCAAATAGTGAACAGAGGACAAATGAATTGTGGATGAGGAGATTCTCAAAAACAACAGATCATGGACTCACATTTTTCAAGGTGCTCTATTTTCTGCTTCTTGAAGATGGTTGAGACCCCCTTTTTTTTTTGTTTTGCTTGTTTTCTGATATTTTTCTTTTCTTTTCTTTTTCAAGGGTCCCAACCTGCTCTTACCGGCCATGCCAGGAGCGGATGTCTCGAGCCTCGTGCGGGGGAAAGACATGTAAGGGGGCTGGAGGTAGTAGGTGGAAATTGGGAACGAATTCCCGTCTCCCCTTACACACTTTCGCCCTATTCGCACGGGAGACGTTTATTTTGAAGCACATTTTCGAGCACCTGTTACTTTCAAAACATGATACAAGAGTCCATGACAGGTAGAGAATCCACAACACCACACAATTCAAGGGTCCTAAGATCACTAATTCACTCAATCAACCAACTTTATATGAAGAAGAAATGAGACTTCTTAAATGCATCAACATCCTCCTTAGTGCTACACTACCTCCCTAGGTTGCATATTACTGTAAAGACTGTCAATTCAAAGCATACTGAGCAGGCAATTGCATGGAACACGTACTTGGAGCCCTCAAATTTAAAAATTTGGACAGTGGACTAGGCTCCAAGCACACAAACAGCCAAACATTCACCCGCATACATAATCGAACACCCCCCCCACACTTAAGCACGACATTGTCCTCAATGGAGGAAAGATAAGGAGGGTTGAACGAAGTTACCAGATCAAGGGTGAATGATGATGTACGGGTCAGGCAGTGCAGTCCAGGAAGAGAGAGTAATCAGAACACAAACACCACACAAAATCTCACAAAGGTTGAGTTATTGACTCTAAAATCAAATAACAAAACTGACTCAACCGAGGAGAAATAGAGAAAGAAATGCAAACCGACTGGTTGGGTTGCCTCCCAACAAGCGCTTCTTTCACGTCGTGAGCCGGACGATGGCTCCTAAGTTTCGGTCCATGCTAGAACCTCCTTGAATTTGAGGTTCTCGTCGATGAGGTGGAGTCTCAAGTCACGAGCATGTGGTGTGGCAGGTGAGGAAGGCTCATGTACTTGATGCAGATGAAGTCTCCACCCTCGAGACCTCTTCTTCTCTTCTCTCGTCTCATTGCCCCAAACCAGATAAGAAAGCATCGATTGGCCACCATCGCGTCCACCAAGAGGGACCGATGTCGAGGTGGCCTTGGTCTGGCAAAGAGACACTGCAAATGGGTCCTTGCTAAGCAGTTCCGCGAAGTTTGGTGGAGATATCACATGTAACTCATGGCCGGTGCAAGCCTCTTCCACCTCAACTTCGTCCTCAGCCTGGACGCCAATTGCTTCTTCAACCTCCCTTCCTTCTTCATGTGGTATCACCCCTGGGAAATGATCAAGAACTCCTCCAGCTTCACTTTCGTCATCCTCCACAACTTCTTTCTGCACCCTTTCTTGCTCTTCTTCTTCTAGCACGGATTGGAGAGCAAGTTGCCAAGCAATTTCTTTCATGAGATCTTCTTGCATCTCCTCACTCATGCCCGCCTCTTCAAAGCTCAGTTTGGGGTGTGGGAAGGTGTGGTCGGCTACGACATGACACGCCTGATCATGACCATCACGGGAGCTCTCCGTGACAACTTCAGTGTGTTCCACAATGCCCTTGTAGCCTTCTTCTTCCTCCTCCTCTTCTTGTATGGTAGCAGAAGGGTGATCTGGAGCAGGTTGCGCCCAAGATCGCTCAAGATCATCAACGCTCTTCTTAAGGCTCAGGAGGATCTCATCTGTTTCACGATAGGCCTGGACACACTGATCCATCCTGGAGCATGTTCTCTCACAGTCTCGAGCATACTGCTCCATGAGTAACTCCAGCGCCGATGGCCCTTCTGGTTGTGGGAGAAATTCTTCTTGATAATGAGGTTGTTCTTGATATGCCCAGGGGTCCGGTTGTTCTCCGTAGTAAGGGGGTTGGTACTGGAACCCGAATCCATAGTCTTCTCTGTCTTGATTGCTCCAGGGAGTCTCGGGGTAATACCACCCAGATGGCGGTGGATACCCCCAATGATTGAAGAAGCCATTAGGATCCATGATTCAGATCTGCACCAACAAAAACAAAAACACCCAAGTGAAAAGCAAGGGTGGGAAAGAAAAGAAAAGAAAAACGCTAAAGTAACAAACTTCTGCCTTTCCTAATACTCTAGAAAGTCCCCGGCAACGGCGCCAAAAACTTGACTCGCTAAAACACAACACCTAACAATGGCCAAGTGTAACCAATGGAAGGCACTGCAGTATAGTGGCTCAAGTGATAAATATCGAATCCACGGGTCTCTAGAGTTACTATTACTCAGCTTCAGTTTATTATTTAGCAAACCAGATTAAGATGAAAGAACTAAAACTACTCTAGCAAACTACAGTTAAAGTTAATCTAATTACAGGTTGGGAACTCACTTAGGTATGATTCCCCCTAGCCACTAGCCAGATTAACGATTGATGATCTCTAACTTGTTTCACTTTCATTCACAATGCGGAGAATCCTTGACTAGACCTTGAGTCTCGACTAAAGGAACAAGGCCCTCTTGAGTCAATTGCCTAGAGGGACGTATCCTTCTCTAGAACAACTGATCAAGGCGTTCTGAACTAGACTCCCTCTATCGAAAGAGGTTCTCAATCGATACAAAGCAGTGAATCAACCCTCGACTAAAGCAATCGATCCACTACTATCAATCTATGGTGCTCTATTGACCTAATCAGGTATTCCCTCTCATAGAATCAAAGCAGAATCAATAATCTCGACTAAAGCAGAATTGAATCATGAAAACATGCATAGATTGAATATGAACTCAAGATTATCCAGTCAGAGTACTCATACAATCATCCAATCAAACAAACATAGCTAGGGTTCCTCAAAACCTAAGTGAAGGGAAGTTACTCCATAGAGAAGAGAGAGACTGCAGTAAGAATCTTCAGATGATCAGTCTTCAAGTCCGGGCTTGTTCCTCGAGCTTCCAAGGCGAAGAAATCCTCCTTCTCTACTCCAAGAATGCCCTCAAATCGCCCTCTCTCTCTAGGGTTCGTCCCTTGGGTGTTTGGGATCCAAAACCCAGCTCTCTCTTCTTTGGTTCGGAGTTTGGCTTAAAACCAGGAAATCCCGACTCGCACGGCCAGGGTGCACGGCCGTGCACATCACCATTCTGGCCGTGCACCTCAAAACGCGGCGTATCAATTAGTTGAACCTCAGCCAACTCGCACGGCCAGAATTGTATGTTGCACGGCCGTGCGGATTTCACTTGTGCCCGTGCGTTCCCACGCACAATCCCGCACGGCCAAACTGGTCACTTGCACGGCCGTGCGTGGCCACGCTGGTCTGCCCGTGCAGCTTGCTCAGCCTCTGTTTAATGCTTCGTTTCTCCCTCGTCCGGACTCCGAATCAATCGCCGTTTGATCCCAGACGCTCGTAGTCTCGTCCTCTTTCGTTTCATAACAAGCTTGCATGATTCTTTGTCCATAAAGTGAGGTAGAAATCCATTCTTCTTCAGGTCATGCCCGAGTTTCTTCTCTCGAATCGTCAATTGATCTCTGATTGACTTGAAACTTGCGCCTATGCTTCACTTTATGTGCTAGGACCTGAAATGGGACAAAGGAACACAACCTAGCATAAAATAGGCCAAAGACGCAATAATTCAAGCTCAAACAATCAAGAAACAAGGGGGAAAACATGTGCAAATACCGAGTCATCAAATCCCCCCACACTTAACTGTTTGCTTGTCCCCAAGCAAACCTAACTCAAACCAATGCAACTCTCCAGACCTCTATAGCAACAAACAACCCAGATCGTAGGTAGAGGACTTCCTAGATCATTTAGCAGCTTACGAGGTCAACCGACGCACAAGTCATCTCATAACTTCTTCGGCGAGTCGGCATCATGGCAAATAGTGAACAGAGGACAAATGAATTGTGGATGAGGAGATTCTCAAAAACAACAGATCATGGACTCACATTTTTCAAGGTGCTCTATTTTCTGCTTCTTGAAGATGGTTGAGACCCCCTTTTTTTTGTTTTGCTTGTTTTCTGATATTTTTCTTTTCTTTTCTTTTTCAAGGGTCCCAACCTGCTCTTACCGGCCATGCCAGGAGCGGATGTCTCGAGCCTCGTGCGGGGGAAAGACATGTAAGGGGGCTGGAGGTAGTAGGTGGAAATTGGGAACGAATTCCCGTCTCCCCTTACACACTTTCGCCCTATTCGCACGGGAGACGTTTATTTTGAAGCACATTTTCGAGCACCTGTTACTTTCAAAACATGATACAAGAGTCCATGACAGGTAGAGAATCCACAACACCACACAATTCAAGGGTCCTAAGATCACTAATTCACTCAATCAACCAACTTTATATGAAGAAGAAATGAGACTTCTTAAATGCATCAACATCCTCCTTAGTGCTACACTACCTCCCTAGGTTGCATATTACTGTAAAGACTGTCAATTCAAAGCATACTGAGCAGGCAATTGCATGGAACACGTACTTGGAGCCCTCAAATTTAAAAATTTGGACAGTGGACTAGGCTCCAAGCACACAAACAGCCAAACATTCACCCGCATACATAATCGAACACCCCCCCACACTTAAGCACGACATTGTCCTCAATGGAGGAAAGATAAGGAGGGTTGAACGAAGTTACCAGATCAAGGGTGAATGATGATGTACGGGTCAGGCAGTGCAGTCCAGGAAGAGAGAGTAATCAGAACACAAACACCACACAAAATCTCACAAAGGTTGAGTTATTGACTCTAAAATCAAATAACAAAACTGACTCAACCGAGGAGAAATAGAGAAAGAAATGCAAACCGACTGGTTGGGTTGCCTCCCAACAAGCGCTTCTTTCACGTCGTGAGCCGGACGATGGCTCCTAAGTTTCGGTCCATGCTAGAACCTCCTTGAATTTGAGGTTCTCGTCGATGAGGTGGAGTCTCAAGTCACGAGCATGTGGTGTGGCAGGTGAGGAAGGCTCATGTACTTGATGCAGATGAAGTCTCCACCCTCGAGACCTCTTCTTCTCTTCTCTCGTCTCATTGCCCCAAACCAGATAAGAAAGCATCGATTGGCCACCATCGCGTCCACCAAGAGGGACCGATGTCGAGGTGGCCTTGGTCTGGCAAAGAGACACTGCAAATGGGTCCTTGCTAAGCAGTTCCTCGAAGTTTGGTGGAGATATCACATGTAACTCATGGCCGGTGCAAGCCTCTTCCACCTCAACTTCGTCCTCAGCCTGGACGCCAATTGCTTCTTCAACCTCCCTTCCTTCTTCATGTGGTATCACCCCTGGGAAATGATCAAGAACTCCTCCAGCTTCACTTTCGTCATCCTCCACAACTTCTTTCTGCACCCTTTCTTGCTCTTCTTCTTCTAGCACGGATTGGAGAGCAAGTTGCCAAGCAATTTCTTTCATGAGATCTTCTTGCATCTCCTCACTCATGCCCGCCTCTTCAAAGCTCAGTTTGGGGTGTGGGAAGGTGTGGTCGGCTACGACATGACACGCCTGATCATGACCATCACGGGAGCTCTCCGTGACAACTTCAGTGTGTTCCACAATGCCCTTGTAGCCTTCTTCTTCCTCCTCCTCTTCTTGTATGGTAGCAGAAGGGTGATCTGGAGCAGGTTGCGCCCAAGATCGCTCAAGATCATCAACGCTCTTCTTAAGGCTCAGGAGGATCTCATCTGTTTCACGATAGGCCTGGACACACTGATCCATCCTGGAGCATGTTCTCTCACAGTCTCGAGCATACTGCTCCATGAGTAACTCCAGCGCCGATGGCCCTTCTGGTTGTGGGAGAAATTCTTCTTGATAATGAGGTTGTTCTTGATATGCCCAGGGGTCCGGTTGTTCTCCGTAGTAAGGGGGTTGGTACTGGAACCCGAATCCATAGTCTTCTCTGTCTTGATTGCTCCAGGGAGTCTCGGGGTAATACCACCCAGATGGCGGTGGATACCCCCAATGATTGAAGAAGCCATTAGGATCCATGATTCAGATCTGCACCAACAAAAACAAAAACACCCAAGTGAAAAGCAAGGGTGGGAAAGAAAAGAAAAGAAAAACGCTAAAGTAACAAACTTCTGCCTTTCCTAATACTCTAGAAAGTCCCCGGCAACGGCGCCAAAAACTTGACTCGCTAAAACACAACACCTAACAATGGCCAAGTGTAACCAATGGAAGGCACTGCAGTATAGTGGCTCAAGTGATAAATATCGAATCCACGGGTCTCTAGAGTTACTATTACTCAGCTTCAGTTTATTATTTAGCAAACCAGATTAAGATGAAAGAACTAAAACTACTCTAGCAAACTACAGTTAAAGTTAATCTAATTACAGGTTGGGAACTCACTTAGGTATGATTCCCCCTAGCCACTAGCCAGATTAACGATTGATGATCTCTAACTTGTTTCACTTTCATTCACAATGCGGAGAATCCTTGACTAGACCTTGAGTCTCGACTAAAGGAACAAGGCCCTCTTGAGTCAATTGCCTAGAGGGACGTATCCTTCTCTAGAACAACTGATCAAGGCGTTCTGAACTAGACTCCCTCTATCGAAAGAGGTTCTCAATCGATACAAAGCAGTGAATCAACCCTCGACTAAAGCAATCGATCCACTACTATCAATCTATGGTGCTCTATTGACCTAATCAGGTATTCCCTCTCATAGAATCAAAGCAGAATCAATAATCTCGACTAAAGCAGAATTGAATCATGAAAACATGCATAGATTGAATATGAACTCAAGATTATCCAGTCAGAGTACTCATACAATCATCCAATCAAACAAACATAGCTAGGGTTCCTCAAAACCTAAGTGAAGGGAAGTTACTCCATAGAGAAGAGAGAGACTGCAGTAAGAATCTTCAGATGATCAGTCTTCAAGTCCGGGCTTGTTCCTCGAGCTTCCAAGGCGAAGAAATCCTCCTTCTCTACTCCAAGAATGCCCTCAAATCGCCCTCTCTCTCTAAGGTTCGTCCCTTGGGTGTTTGGGATCCAAAACCCAGCTCTCTCTTCTTTGGTTCGGAGTTTGGCTTAAAACCAGGAAATCCCGACTCGCACGGCCAGGGTGCACGGCCGTGCACATCACCATTCTGGCCGTGCACCTCAAAACACGGCGTATCAATTAGTTGAACCTCAGCCAACTCGCACGGCCAGAATTGTATGTTGCACGGCCGTGCGGATTTCACTTGTGCCCGTGCGTTCCCACGCACAATCCCGCACGGCCAAACTGGTCACTTGCACGGCCGTGCGTGGCCACGCTGGTCTGCCCGTGCAGCTTGCTCAGCCTCTGTTTAATGCTTCGTTTCTCCCTCGTCCGGACTCCGAATCAATCGCCGTTTGATCCCAGACGCTCGTAGTCTCGTCCTCTTTCGTTTCATAACAAGCTTGCATGATTCTTTGTCCATAAAGTGAGGTAGAAATCCATTCTTCTTCAGGTCATGCCCGAGTTTCTTCTCTCGAATCGTCAATTGATCTCTGATTGACTTGAAACTTGCGCCTATGCTTCACTTTATGTGCTAGGACCTGAAATGGGACAAAGGAACACAACCTAGCATAAAATAGGCCAAAGACGCAATAATTCAAGCTCAAACAATCAAGAAACAAAGGGGAAAACATGTGCAAATACCGAGTCATCACGGTCTCCTCCTCCGGGCCACCATCGTCGCCTGCCACCTCCGCCGCTGATTCGCTGTAACGGTTGTGGGAAGAAGAGCGGAGGAAAGTCGCCCGGACTAACCACGTCGGTTGTGGGAAGAAGAGCGGGCCACCATCGTCGCTTGCCACCTCCGCCGCTGACTCGTTCCCGATCTGCTCGACAAACCACGCGGTGTCGCCGGCCACGTTTCCACCGCCGCAGGTACTTTTCTTTAATTGATTGTTAACTATTTGGTACGTTCTATTAGAATAGTTGATCATAATGTGTTCTTATACTCCTATTGAACATCCACAGTACGTGCAAGAACAGAAATTGAGTAGGGTTTCCGTGCTGTAATTTTCTGAAAATGGATGATATATCGCAATGGTACCCGTAAGTATTGTTTACCAACTAATCGTTACGACAGTCTACTCCGCTTCCTTTTCCTATTGTCAGCCAGCCATTACTAACGTCTAACGGTTTTTTTATAGCGACTTTCTGGTTGAGCCTGGTTTCGTTGCAAAGCTGAAGTATGAGGAAGCAGTACATATGTCTATTTTGTCGGATTCAATCGATCTTACATTGTTGCAAGAGAATGGTGACGATAAGGTTATTGAAAATTTGAAATTAACTTTTTTGTCATTCATCCTTTCGATCTCGTTTGCAATTATTGTGTTTGTTAATGCTTGTTAATTTTTTTTGAAATTCTTTTTCTTGTTTTAAACACAGGGCACTTCTTACCTCATCTCCGGACGTGTCGGCGAGGTGAAGACATCCTGGTGTGCTGAATGTAGAGTTCATTTAATCCACCTAACTATCGAGGATGATTATTTGGATATTGAGGTTGTTTTCCCATCGACAAACTTGCGCAAAATCGTTTCAGATGTAGTAAGTGATAAAGATATGGCCAATGCCGATTTCGTTACCCTTATCAACTTGATTGGTGGAAACTCCTATGAGTTTATGGTCACATTGGGTCCTTGGAACAATGTGTCGAGTTATTTTGAGCTGTTATTGGTAAAATTATTTTTTCCTCCCGGCAAACTGAATACCATTTCAGCAATGTCAATAGAATCTACTAAAGTTGCTTAGTGTCCGCCTTAATGTTATTTCTCTTGTTATGCAAGTGTACTAAGTGTGTGAACACAATGCTTTTTTGTACGGGTTCTGCCCTTCTTAATGAATTGTTGCTTGTATCTTTCTATACTTATCGAAAAATTTCTCAATTACTTATAAATGGGATCAGTTGCCTAATGAAAAGTTATGAAACAAAATTCATGTTAATTTGGTTCAAATTACTGTATCATCAACATACCACACCCCAATTCGACTATCCAAAAGGCCATTATCTGTTCACGGTTCACCCAAGCTACCCCATAGCTAACCATTTATCTCACCAACAGCCATCAAAACCCAACAACCATCAAAACCTTGGTTATCTCCAATTACTGCCCAGGGAAGACGATGAGACATGACAAACGTCGTCGTTTGTGCTTGCTGCTAAAGCGAGAGTGTCCCTAGGACGATGTCGTTCCACAAGCGTAGCTGAAACATGATTATATGGATGTGGGTAAAAGAAATAAGAGAATATGAAACATGATTATATGGATGTGGGTAAAAGAAATAAGAGAATATGGAGAATCGAACAGGTAACCTTGCGATGATAATAGCAAATCTTAACCATCAATGCTGTACAGGTATTTTGATAGTTTAAATGTACACGTTTTGTATACATATGTTGTAACAATTAAACATAATAACAAAAATAATTAAGGAAGTAAAGCAAAATAAATGAAGACAACGACAATTTTTGTATAGAAGTCAATGACTTTACCGTGACTATATTATATGAAAAAGCTATCTACATGTGCATACCATGCATTTGAACAATAAACATTCCATAATACTTGTAGACACCAGTTTTGTCCGGGTTAAAACATTTTTAATAAAATGTTAATTAGTTTCAATTTAAGGTTTGCAATAGCAAATCTTTAATGGCCTTCTAACTAAAACGTATTTGTAGTGTTTGGAAAATGTATTGGTTATCATAACTGAATAAGATTAGCAATAACAAATCTTATTTGGTACAATTTGGATTATTGAGATTAGCAATAGCAAATCTTAATCGATACAATTTGATAGTGATTGCATGCTTCAGTTAGACGATCTAGTTTTAAATCGAAGGAGTTAGGCTATGGAATGAATACTTGTATGATTCTCTACCGTAGATCTAATCTAACGGTCATTATAAATTATAGGCAAAATACATATGCATAGCCAAAACTTTCACCTTTGTGCCACTTGTAGCCGCATTTGGCAAAATACCACTAATAGCCACTTTTGAAAGATGTTGCGTAGGGGTGTACATGGGTCGGGTGGTCCAGGTTTAGCCATTTTATCACCCAACCCATGCACTACGGTTTGGAAAATATCAAACCCAAACCCACCCTAAAAAATTTAAACCCTACGGTTTGTTTCTAATTGGGTTGGGTTGGCGATATTTTAAAGTAAAAACCCAACCCAACATAAAATATATAATTATTCTACATCATAAAAAGATTTTATAACTAATTAAAATTTCAAACGAATAAACCGTGGTGAAAGGTATCAAAATTCACAAATGTTGTTTGAATTTTAATAAAATGTGATTTACTTCAAAATATGTCTAGTTTTTTACGATATTTGTTGAAATAGGCTAAAAAGGTTATAAACAAACGCACCCACAATATGTTATTCTATTAAAATTGTACACAAGAAAAACGATTACGTGAATCATAACTATATTCAATTTATGTCTAAACTTTAAGTCGAATAATGCATTAGATTAGGGAGACCATGAGAGAAAAACATGGTGAAATATCTTAATTTTCTCATAAATATGGCTATATACGACATAAATATTTTTTAGATACGAACTCATACTAATAGTTGGAACACGGGTTGGGTCAGTTTGGACGGGTGGTTCGGTTTGCGGGTATGTTTGTTCACCCCTAATGTTGCGTGCCAGATATAGCCATTTTCGTTAGAAACTATGATGGCGTTAATAACTCCGTCAACTTATTTGACGGTTCGCTGACGAGGCACCAAATCATCAACCACGTCAGCGACAACAAAGCAAAAATTGGCACGTCATCTGAATAATTTATTTATTATTAAAAAAAATTTAAAACTTTCCCCATCTACCTGATCGCACGAGGCTACCAAAAATCCCCATCTATTTCCAGAAAACGAAATTAGGGCTTCCTTCTTCTCCATCTCTTTCTAGAAAACGAAATTAGGGTTCTTCCCAAATTTCCTCTTCCCCACGAAGGAGATACATGAAGCTGATCGATGCTTACTCCTCTTCCCCAAATCTTCTTCTAGTTTCTGAACGACTCGGCGCTTCTTCCTTCTTCCCCAAATCCCACTTCTTCTCGGCCGATTCGCGATCCCGAAATCACGATTTCTCCTGGCCAGAACTTCACGCGAAGCTCAGCCATGTCCAAGCGAGCATCTTCCTCAACTTCGACTAGCATCAATAGCCGAGGGGCGGTACTCTGTTGGCACAAGAAGCCATGTGTGGTGAATACATCTGGAACCGAAGCGAACCCAGGAAGACAGTTCTATGGGTGTCCATTTTGGATGGTAAGGTGTTTAGATATGGGTTTTGAAATTGTCATTGATGTGGGTTCTAAGTTAAATGGTTGTATGGTGCAGGACGAGAAGAAGAACTGTCGTTTTTTTAGGTGGGTGCGAATGAATGTCGATGAAGATAAGCACCATGACTCTGAAATTGGGTGTTCGACTTTGAATATTGAAGAAAGTTTGAG